ATCTGTGTTCACGAGTGCAATAAGAGATCATATCGCACAGATTACATGATATAAAATATCCATTGTTTAGTTTCTTGCAGACGTGGCAAATGTTTTCGTGAAAGGAGCTATTATAATTATTAATAATAATACGTGGACCGAAATCATTCACATCGATTACTTTAGAAAAATAACTCATGGTGGGATATTTTGTTTGACGTATGATATCAATTTAAAAATGAAATGTGTTGCTTCTTGTAATAGAAATAATGTAGTTGTCTGTCGACAGCAGATTTATAACTGAGCTGTTCACATTTCAGATTTATAGCATACTACTGTAGAGACGACATTAAGAAATCCTCTGGTTCGCTAGTTAATATTGACAAACTGACTTGGATATTTGAAAAGGTAACGAAATACGAATAAACGTTATTGAATAGAATGTTGCAAATAGACGCGCATGGGATTCTTATAAATTTTTATTACATGTAACTTGTGTATCAAAAAAAAATATTGAAGAAAGAGGAAGTTGAAAGTTTTAAACAATAATTAATATTTTGAAAAAGTGAAAATATGAATTATTGTTGCTGTATATATATCTTACTAACAAATATATACATATGGTATACATGCGTCTTGTAAACAATATATATATATATATTGTTTACAGGACGCATGTATACCATACGTATATATTTGTTAGTAAGATATATATAGAGCAACAATAATTCATATTTTCACTTTTTCAAAATATTAATTATTGTTTAAAACTTTCAACTTCCTCTTTCTTCAATATTTTTTTTTGATACACAAGTTACATGTAATAAAAATTTATAAGAATCCCATGCGCGTCTATTTGCAACATTCTATTCAATAACGTTTATTCGTATTTCGTTACCTTTTCAAATATCCAAATCAGTTTGTCAATATTAACTAGCGAACCAGAGGACTTCTTAATGTCGTCTCTACAGATCTGTATGTCTGCTATAGATCTGAAATGTGAACAGCTCAGTTATAAATTTGCTGTGGACAGACAATTACATTATTTCTATTAGAAGTAGCAACACATTTCATTTTTAAATTGATATTATACGTCAAACAAAATATCTCACCATGAGTAATTTTTCTAAAGTAATCGATGTGAACGAATTCGGTCCACGTATTATTATTAATAATTATAATAGCTTCTTTCACGAAAACATTTGCCACGTCTGCAAGAAACTAAACAATGGATCTTTTATATCATGTAATCTGTGCGATATGATCTCTTATTGCACTCGTGAACACAGATCATTGCATCGTCCACAACATATGCAGATTTGTGAATATATAAACCGATTTTTACGAGAGAATGAAATACGTCGAGACTGTGCTTTAAGTTTAACTAATTGGATCACGTTAAGACAACAATTTCTAAGCTCAATTAAAAAATGGATTCCACGTAAGCTAAAGCCGTATGAAGAACAGATGATTCTTTTTGCAAAATCATGTTCTATTTGTCATAGACAGATTAATTTGGAACACTGTAGAACGTGTTATTCGGAATATTATTGCATTGACCACGTACAGGTATTTCAAGGTTTGCACGAGCCAAAATGCCAACAGTTTATATTGTATATCAACATTAATATCTGGGTTCTTGTACACAAATTCACTGTGTCAAAATTCACTAATATTATTCTTCGAAAAGAACCATTTAATGACATGAATACATTTTTGACAACATATGTGAATCCTGACATAGAAATCTTACCTGAGCCTGAAATATATTCTAAATATTTCT